GATTCCCGCGGTTTGGGATCAGCGCATGCGAACTACGACTAAGGCCTCGTTTACACGACAACGATTGAAAAACGTTTTCAAAAGAATACGCTTCCACAGATTTTGATAAGAGCGTTTACACGACAACGCTGAAAAACGTTTCAAAAACGTTTCAAACGAAAAACGGCCTCAAAGTGTTTTTCAATCGTTTTCGTTCCGTTTCGTTCTCGTAGTAAACGGCAAAAACGTTTTACTAGTACGAGTAGTAGACGAGCCTTGTACTCAAAACATGCCGCCGCCAGCCTGCGCCAGGCCAACTTTTTGCACGTGACCATTGCGCGCCGAAAAAAGTGTTGCAGTGTACACGATTATCGTTTTCGTGTAAACAGCAAAAACGTTTCGAAAACGATTGAAAAAAGTTTTTCAATCGTTGTCGTGTAAATGAGGCCTAAAAGGCACGTGTTCATCATTAGTGTACGCATTTCCCTTTTCGCATACGCACACGTGCATTACTACACGTACATTCATCACTGCACTCAAGATCGCGGCCCCTTTGGCGCTTCATTTTGCTTGACATGTGCAAAATATCTCCGAATTCTTCGAGACCCGTTTTCTTGAGTAATCCCAGTTTCTTCGACTTCTCTTTTCTTCTTCTTCTAGAAGCTAGAGAATATAAGAACGCACCCTTATTCTCGTGCCATTCTCGTGTCACAAAACTGGAACATCGAGTACCAGTATGGAAAGGCTTCAGACAGGAAGCCTTTCCAATAAGGCTTCAGGCAGGAAGCCTTTCCAATGATTATGTACATGCACAATATTGCTACAACGATATTACCCCTATAACGATATAAAATGGGCTGACCAATCGACATTTTCCATTTTATAACAATATCTAGCAGGGAATATAATAATTATAGAGCCCACTATCCAGGTAGGGGTAGCTTCACTTGACAAGTCGCTGGGACATGTTGAAATACATGTACAACGGGGGCATCACTCCGCACCAGTGGGCACCTTGCTGTGTATATAATGCGAATGTACGTTAGTTTTTTATGCTATGAAGAGTGTAAAAAATGAACAAAATCCATGCATTATGACGTACAATGTACATTATTATTATTATTATTAACTTTTATTTTACTAGGGTGTTTCCCACAGACCTATGGCATGTATTATTATTATTTTTTCTTATTTTGTTAGGGATTTCCCAACAGGCAATGTGTGTATGAAATGAATCAGTTACCCTACAAATTGTAATAACAATATTACCCTGGCCTTAGGCCATGGTAAAAAATAAAGTTGATTCTCAGGTCATGAGCCTGTGAAAATCGGTGCGAGCGAGCGATTTTTTTTAAATTCCCACAATTTTTTTATTTCCAAAGATAGGGTCACACATGTACATGTGTACGTCACAGGTTCATAATTAATTTATAATTATTTTACTATTCAGGCCAGGGAGTAGAAAAATACCGGTATTTTACTACAGTAGAAAAATACCGGTATTTTACTACTCCCGGATTCATGCCTTTCGCATTGACCGTTTTCTTGCACGCATCTGCATGCATCTTTACTTATAAAAGAGAGGCACCTGTGACGTGTGTCTGTGTGTGTGTCACGCTCCAAAAATAGGCGATTCACACGACAGGCAAATCCACGTTTGTCAAGTGCCCGCAGGAAGTGAAACGTGAGGCCGCAGTTCACACGGCCGCGTGTGGCGGCCGCGAGTATCCGGTGAGTATACGGCGTTACTGTGGTGATTTGGAATGAGTACCCAAAAACAAAGGCCAAACAACCAGGGTTCAAGACTACCGTACCATATATGACCCCACAGCCTCATAACTGTAAAAGTGCCCGCAGATGAGTGCATCCGCGGGCAAAAAGGCCATGGGCACTTTTGATTCCCGCGGGCAAATTTTGGTCACCCGCAGGAATATCTCCATGGTGACTTTCCTGTAAACGTCGATTTGCCTGTCGTGTGAATCGCCTATTAGTGAGGTTCTGCCACACGGTATAACGTGCCAAAGTACGTATGGAAACTTCGCCGCGGTACGGGATTTAGTTTGATACGGATTTTTTCATACCGTTTTCCGTGTGAAGCGCGGTTCACACGGTACGGACCGGACTCCGTGTGAAAAGTGAGCGTACAGAGTACATGTGGCGGGGTGTTCGTGCATGCCTCAAGCATGCTACGTACAGCAGAACCGGTGCAACGTACGAAAAATCCGTGTCAAACTTCACTGCAGTTGACACGGAGTTTGGTAGACCCGGGTGCTCGAATGAGACACAGGGTACCAAAACAGAAACACACTGAAATTGTACCTAAACTTGTTCCGATTTCGTTTAGTTTTTACAAATACCATCAACATACGGCCCGCTAACGGTATGCCAAATTTCAGCGCTGCCCTGTAAACGCTTTTTGAAATACTCGCGACCCACTTTTTGCTGGGTCCTTGATTCGAGGATATGGGTCTCCTGTACGGTGCTGCCAAAGACCTGCTGAATCTGCGGCTCCACTGACCATCTTGCTCTCAAAAATGAAGTAGTAAGTTACTACTCCCTGCCCTCAACTGCCACACCAAGCGTAGACGATGGTAGACCCGTGTGCTTGAATCGGAGACGATCTGACGAGTTCGCTGTTTCTGATTCGAGCACCCAATTTTCAAATAAAAAATCCGAAGGAAATACGACAATTTTACTGCGTACTGTAGCTTGTGTTGTATCGCACCCAGGTTCTGAATTCCTGCTGGGTGGGTCAAGCCAGACTCTCTTCCCTGTTCCATCGCCTCTCCAAAAGTATATTCTGACATTGTTGAGATTTACAGATGAGAAATTTCACACCTGTCAAATCGTTTCTGATTCGAGCACCCGGGTCTACGTAGTTCCGTGTAGCAGAACCTCTCTATTATAAAGAAGAGGCACCTGTGAGGCTGTGACGTGTGTTTTTGTGTCACGCTGAAGCGCTGCGGAGCAGCGCTGCCCTGAGCACGCGAAGCGTACGAACAGTGTAGCACAGTGTAGCTAGCGGCCGCAGAAGCACTGAGCACGCGAAACGTGCGAATCGTGTAGCTAGCGGAAGCAGCCACAGAAGCACTGAGCACGCGAAGCGTTCGAATCGTGTAGCCACCACCACGTGCTGAGCACGCGAAGCGTGCGAACAGTGTAGGTACGGTGGTAGCGCTTATACTTAAAGGGGAAGTAATTAGTTAAGGCAAAAATTAAAATTTCACCAGTTGTAGTCTTCGGGGTGCTGAGTCGAATGGTCTTGGTCCGAGAAAGCTGAGACGCTCCCTTCCTACTTGAATCCCAATCGAACTCGCGCACTTCCACCGAAACTGGGTGACTGCGCCCTACGAGATGGGGATTTGTATGCAAAATGTCACTAAAAGCGCCATTTCGTTCTTATAAAAGCACGGATGACCGCGATTGGCCCATATGTTGTAGTCTTTTGGACGCTGAGTCGACTGGTTTTGGTCCGAAAAGGCTGCGATGCAGCGTTCCTCCTTTATTCCCAATCGAACATGGTTGAAGAAGCAGTCACGTGCTCCTGGGTGCCAAAATCACCTGGTCACCACGCCAGCAGGCGACAACTTTCACACCAAGGTTCAACTCGAGTGACAGGACTGCACCCAAAAAAGGTCAAAACAGGCTGTAAGTTGTACCCTGCAGGCACGGTGACCAGGTGACTGGTGTACGCAGGAGCACGTGACCGCTTGTTCTACCATGTTCGATTGGGAATTAGGGGCGAACGCTGCATCGCAGCCTTTTCGGACCAAAACCAGTCGACTCAGCGACCAAAAGACTATAACATATGGGCCAATCGCGGTCATCCGTGCTTTTATAAGAACGAAATGGCGCTTTTAGTGACATTTTGCATACAAATCCCCATCTAGTAGGGCGCAGTCACCCAGTTTCGGTGGAAGTGCGCGAGTTCGATTGGGATTCAAGTAGGAAGGGAGCGTCTCAGCTTTCTCGGACCAAGACCATTCGACTCAGCACCCCGAAGACTACAACTGGTGAAATTTTAATTTTTGCCTTAACTTCCCCTTTAACTTTTTTTGTCTTAAGTTATAGCAGACACGATCAGTAGATCTCTACGAGTAGCAGTAGCAGCCGCGCGCAGAAGCACTGAGCACGCGAAGCGTGCGAATCATGTAGCCACCTAGCCTAGGCCATCATAGGCATAGGTAGCACTAGCAGCCGCACAAGCGCTGCGGACCACGTGAACCGTTCTCTGCAAATAGAATCATCTGCAACAAAAGGATACAAAAGATCTGCACTGACTGCACTCTGCATCTGATCTGCAGTGAAGAGCGCATCGCACTTTTGTTCGTAAGTTTATGAATTTTTTGAGCCGCTTCATCCGCCATGCGCCACCAGGTAGTAGAGTAGTAGAATTTATTATTTTGATAGGGAAGGCCCTAGAGACGTTGCCGTCTTGTTACAGGGAACCCTAAGTGCTCTTTACAGAGCGAAACAAAAACGGATAGATGCTCAACCTGACGACACGAGACAGGCAGAGAATTCCACCTATCAGCGCCAAGGAAAGAAATGGAGAACATGCCATATCTAGTGGTAGCAGCGGGCAAAGAAAGTTGATGGACAACCCTGACCAGCCTCCCGAAGGCGTAACAGACGTCCCTCCTTCTCCTTCCAACGATGAAGAACCTCCCTCACCAGGACTTCAGAGGTCTGGCCACCACCACGTGCTGTGCACGTGTGCTGTTCATGTACTTGCTTCACCCGCATGCCACATTCGGCCAGGCAACGCTGGCGGGGGTGCTGCTAGTACGAGTCGTAGGGTTATGTACTCTTGCTATAAGGGTAGGTCGACTGTATCATGACATGGGTCTCCCCGGGGCCCGGGTACAGTACCGGCAAGACTACAGAACCATGGGGGTTTCAGATTGAGTAACCATGGAGAAAAATGACTCAATCGGCCGACAGCCGGCCCCTCCCTGAAATCCTCAGCGGACTCGGAAGTGATCCCACTAAGGACTCGCCACACCTCAATAGGGTAAGGATAAGGTGCAGACAAACCAAAAAGGATTGACCCAAGTAGTTGGAATCTTCGGAAATAGAACAAGTCTGTATGGTGGCAGAAGCCAGCTTCAAATGTGCCGGCGCATGCATGGTGGGCAATCACATAGATAGCACGCCCAACAACAAAGAAACAGCGAAAACTCTGCTGGAACTGAGCACAACTGCAGACGTGCTCTCTCTCTCTCTCTCTCTCTCTCTCTCTCTCTCTCTCTCTCTCTCTCTCTCTCTCTCTCTCTCTCTCTCTCTCTCTCTCTCTCTCTCTCTCTCTTTCTTTTCAACAACGCACGCACACACATGAAAAGGAACAAGGTGCAGACAAACACGGATATTGACAAAAACCCAACAGAAAAACAAGGGCCGTGACCCAATGATGTGGCAAAGAAAACAGTGTGCACGCTGAATACGATCTCAAGCCATGCATACATGTACATGTCTTCCTCAGGCGGCAATCCGAGCGGTGAGCTGAACTCACGCGTCAAACACAAGCCGCTCTGGCCTAGGGGGAGAAAAAAAATAGCTTGCTCGCCACCCCACCGGAACGATAATGTGGCTGGAGTGTGCGTGCACGCGCCCCAATAGTGACCAAGAGACGTTTATGTAGTGCGCACATCCAGAGTGTGTCTCCGTCCTACACAGGCAGTGCTCACCGTCACACCCCTGCTGACTGGCAGTAGGCGACAAGCAGCCAAATATACACGGGCCGTGGAAGACTGCCCCCCCCCCCCCCCCACACACACACTCTCCAGTGCACGGGGGGGGGGGGGGGGGCTGGTGGCTGGTCATGGGCGACGCTCACTCGTCCTCGAGAGGGTTGTAAGTTGACTTGCTCGCAGCCGGTTGCGGAGGCGTGGATTCGGTGGACTGACGCGGTGCCTGGCTTGCAGCCGGCTGTGCAGGCATGGACTTGGTGGACCGACGCGGTGGCTGGCTTGGTGCCGGTTGCCCTACCGCGGACTTGGCGGACTGATGCGCCGTCATTCGAGCAGCAGCAGCAGTAACGGCAGCATCACCGGAAGTAACATTTGCCGTCTGCGCCTCGCCACCTGCCGACGTTGTGCTCCACTCGCTCCATCCCGGCGATGCGGACGCTGACATGCTTGCCCGCTCTGCGCCTCTAGCGCGCATACCGCCTCTACCGGCGGGGCGAATGGGAGCTACCTCACTCACATGTGACCGCGCTGCCTGTGCTGGACTCTGCCTCCACTGCTGCTGCTGTTGAGGTTGAGCGTGGTGTTGCTGGTGCTGCTGGCGCTGATTGGCAAAGGGCGATGTGCGTGGTGCGAAAACATCCTCCTGCCGCTGCTGTTGTTGCTGTTGTTGTTGCTGCTGTCCCCGTCGCTCATCCCAGGCACGCTGGTGTTCAACCATCGCGTCTTTGCCAAAGCCGGAGACCTGGCGCTGCACATTCGTCGGCAGAGGTTGAGTGTGGTGTTGCTGGTGCTGCTGGCGCTGATCGGCAAAGGGCGATGTGCGTGGTGTGAAAACACCCTCCTGCCGCTGCTGTTGTTGCTGTTGTTGTTGCTGCTGCTGCTGTTGTTGTTGTTGTTGCCCATGGTGGCGGAAAAACTGTCCCCGTCGCTCATCCCAGGCACGCTGGTACTCAACCGTCGCGTCTTTGCCAGAGCCGGAGACCTGGCGCTGCACATTCGTCGGCAGTTTCGTCGACTTAGGAACAGACCCACCCATGTAGTAGAAGATTAACTTCGGATAATCATTTTCAGCTATCGTTTTCAATCCATGTGGTTTCTGCAAGACAAAAACCGGAGTTTGAATCACACGCAGCACCCGCCACATCGCGCACCCGCACACATGCACATGCATGCCCGCGTGTGAGAACGCAACCACACGCAAACGAATGCAAACACACGTACACACACACACACACACACACACACACACACACACACACACACAAACACGTGCTTGCGTGTGAGAACCCAAACACGCGAAAAACGCATGCAAACACACACACACACACACACACACACACACACACACACACACACACACACATGCACACATGTACATACATATCATGGAACTCCCCATAGGGCACACCTCACAAGCAAAGACGCCCTGCACATTTATAATAAGAACCAATTAGAGAGGTTGTGCATAACGAAAATTCGTAACTTAGACGTAGTCTGGGCACGAGTAACGAAAAAGGAAAGGAACTTTCGCGAGGAGGACCGCGAAACTTGAAGATCTTTCACATTTTGAACTTTCGCTTCTTTCTCGCAAGCTTCTGTATACATGTAGCTGTGTTGATGCACGTGGTGTCAAGATTTTTTCGCCATGGCCTTCTCAAGTCGTTCTGCAAGTTCTTTCTACTCGGCATCCTGTGGAGCTGATGGATCTCTTTCCCGCTCTCTCAGCGATCCTCTGTCACCTGGACAGCGCTCGGCTAGTTCTGTCAGATCTGGAAGTCCTGTCAGTGCTCGCCCTGTGGCAAATTATTCTGCTGAATCCCCGCAGCAGAATTCTGCCACTTCGGCGTCTTCGTCTTCCCCTGCGACGTCTCAGCGAAGGACATTTGATCTCGCGATTGACCTAACCCTTCTCAGGCAGCTTCGTTCTCACGACCAACCGTTTCGACGAGGGTCTCCAGCCATGGAGATCGTTGCCTGTGAGCTGGAAAACTTGAGCCCAACTCAGTTCGGTGGTGTGACGAAGAAAGCTATTCGCGACAGAGTGATGAAGCTGCTGGAGCTGTTCGCCAAAGGCGACGACTGGAAGAGAAGGATGTAAGTTCCTGTACGAACTGGCTTTGCATGCAGCCCAACTCTGTTTGCTCTGTATACATGTACATGTACATGCATGTCGATCTGATTACTGCTGTGTCTGATTCACATGCATGTCGATCTGATTACTGCTGTGTCTGATCCACATGCAAGCAATTTTCAAGCTTCACTTTGTCCATGTTACGAATTCCATGTACTATAACTATGTACTGAAGTAGTAGTTACCAAGCCTGTCTTCCTGTGCGTATGTGTCTGCGCTCGCCCATGCACGCGCACGTGTGTGTTTGTATATGTGTGTGCGTGTGTGTGTGTGTGCGCGCGCGCGCGCACGCACTTCTCCCTCACCGCTTGCTGTATGTGTTGCATAGGTCTGGTACGAACGAAGATATAACAGAGAAAGAGCAACTGCTGCAAGAGCTGCAAGATATCTACGCTGAGAAAGATACGACCATGCAACGACGTGCGGAGGCTACGCAAGCCAAGTGCCCCCTAGCTGCTGAAGCGCGCGATGACACATGCCTGACGCTCGGAGAAAGGTCAGGCGCTGCCAAAGCAGGCCATACTGAGCCTAAAGCCAAGCGAAAGCTGCAAGGGACGGAGGTTGTCCTGGATTATCTTGAATCAAAGCACAAGGATGATATCACAATGCGCCGCCATGAGCTCGAGTTTGAAAAGGAAAAAGCAAAATCACAGCAGCAGGAAGAAGATGAGAAGTTGAAATTGGAGCGGGAAAAAATGGAGCTGGAGCGGGAGAAATTGGCTGCAGACGAAAGAAAGCACGGCAGAGTGATGGAGCGGGCAGACAGAGCAAGGGGCGACAAGCGTGAGGAAGACATGGCGGGAGAGAGAACAGCGTTCATGGACGTCATGAAAGCACTGGCCCATAAGCTATCATAGCGCTTGTCAACGCATACGCATGCAATACTTCAGCTGTTTTGAACTTATGATGTGAATACAGATCGATGCATATATATTTTACTGAGTGCGTTGCCGTGTCCGCATCTTGCTTAACAGTGCCACGCTGCAAGTAAAAGGCACACTCACAGGGATCAGGTCATGCTTCCATGGTGGCTGCTGGTAGGTGGCTGCAATCGGAAATATCTGGACGTCTTGTTCCCACCTCTGATTATGGTTCGGCAATTAGTCAGTAGAGCTGTTACTCGGTAGTACTAGTAGATGCACACAGGCTGGAGGCGAACTTTCAAGTCCTTCTTGAAGTCCACAAAGGCCCAGTACAGTGAGCCTTCTCCAAATGAACATTCCACACACTGCCGCACTGAGCTCATTCGGCCATTGAACAAGTGTTGCTGGGGCGTGGCAGCTGCACCGACATATCTATTCTGGATATAGGGGCTTAGCGGATAAGCTGGGTCACCATAGAGTGCGTATGGCGGGCCATGTGGCAGCTGCATATGCTGCTGGAGCTGCGCCAGTAATCCACTTTCATCAAGTACTCCAGCATCGTGACGACTGCCGACAACGGGCCCATACAAAATAATGCGCAATCAAGCCATCGGGCGTTGTAACTGCTTGAAATTTAAGTGCATGGACACATTTGTGTCCATTGTAATACATCCGTTGCTCCTAGCCTGGTCGGCAGATTGGTCTGACTGTACCGTCGATGAAGCCCCAAATCCGTAAGTCGACCTCGGACTTGTTGCGGATGGCCGTATGGTACGACTCTAGGAGTGCTGCAGTGAAGTGCGGCTTGGTGAAAGGGTCCTCAAGAAGGCCCCCCCCCCCCCAATTTCGCCAAATCCACATCAAGGTTGTGTTGAAAATTCTGCTGAGATCAGGACTCATCGGACAGCTCACAAAGGCGACAAGGATAGGCCAGGCGACGCAAGACTACCATCAAACCTTCCAGCCCTGTCCATGCCGTACGTGATGGTCCTACAAACTTCTGCGTGTGATTCAACTCCCTTATTTCCGCATTGGAGGAGCGGAACCTCAGCTCACATGTTTCCTCATCCAACGATTCCAGGAAAATTCGAGGGCCGAGAACACGGTGTTGCGAAAGCTGCCGGTCCTCTTCTGCTGCCATAAGCAATACAAGAAGTTTCTCATCATCAACATCGCCCTCAGAGTGGGCGAGAAGCAGGATAGCCGTAAGGCTATCGTACTCTTCCAAGTCCATGAAGATTAGAATAGTCAACACTGCAACTACAATTGATAAAAACTTCTTCCTCTAGCTTGCATGTGTGCCTACACGTGTGCCGGAGTACACACTTGATTCAAAAAATTGTTCAACAAGCGCGCGCAAACAGCGGGAAAAGTACTCGAAAGGGTCACCATGGTCACACTACGTTTTTCGTTGAGCACAACAGATTTTCTTTATGAGTTTTCGTCACTTCCAGACGGCTCAGATTCCGAAAGATCTTTACGAATTTTCGTTATGCGCAACCTCTCCATTATGTCATCTCCTGCTGTTCTGAATTGATATGCAACACATGTTTTCTAATAAGTACACCAACAATGACAAGAACTGCAGCAACAGCAACCATAGCAACAACAGCCACAGCATCTGCAACAACAACGATGACAACGATGACAATGATGACAATGATGACAATGATGACAACAACAACAACAACAACAACAACAACAACAACAACAACAACAACAACAACAGCAGCAATAACACACAAGAACAAATATAACAAAACCACCACCTCCACCTCCACCACCAACCCCACCTCCCCCTCCACCTCCACCACCGACAATCTCTTATTGGCCACTGGCCATCGTGCGAATAAAGATTTGAAACGAGAAACAGAACTGAAACAGAACTGAAACAGCACAAAACAGGCGAAAGCAGTTTTCGATTGATCTGACGATACCTTTCAATCAAAAAAGTCCTTTGTCTGTCAAGCTTTTCGTGTATGATATCCAGAGTACACTGTATACCCCCCCCCCCCCCAAGAGTGTGTAACTCCTGATACCCTTTCAATGGGGTACGCCGACGGCGAAAACTCACATCACGTGGTGCAGTGTCGCAGTTGTACGTTTCCAACCCGTTTTGAGCGAGCAGCGGAGTAATAAAAAAAGCACTCTCTGACAGAAAGTCACTGCGGGTATGCAAATCCCCAGGATGATCATGGCAGATATTCGGATTGCGCGCACGCTATCCTTCGTTTGTACATAGTACGAACGTACCTGAGACACGTGCTGTGAGTTTTCGCCGTCGGAGACCCCATATGCAGTTGCACACTCTTGGGGGGGGGGGGGGGGGTAGTCCGGGGGCCAAATTAGGAAAAAGTCACGTCTAATAGATTTCGTTCTGAGTGAGGGGCACCAAGTTTTTTCGATTTGAAAGTCAAGTATCTTCAAAATGCTGCAAGATGGTACCGTAAAAGCCCGTGTATACGCCCACTCGAAATTACGCCCACCATCCGTGCACACGCCCAGTCAGGGGAAGTCAACACTTTTGTTTCAAAATAGCGCCCATGCCCATGTATACGCCCAGGTATGCCGGCAACACCAGTACCTGTACAGGTACTGATACCCAATCCTTACTGCTATCCCTATTCCAAGTATACGCCCGGTTCCAAAATAACGCCCGTGCCCTTGTATACGCCCAGGAAATCGAGGCTGCTATTCTATACGCCCGGGGCCTATACACGGGCTTTTACGGTATGCCATTCAATCAAAATTTCCATCGGGAAGGTCATACAATGAAGGTGGAAAGAATTGATGATGGTTGCCATGGCAACAAATCAGTAAATTCAAAATTACAGGAGAACTATGCAATATTTTGACAAAACTCCTGCTGGATATAAACATATCCAATACGTATGACTAGTTGGCCAAGTTTGACTGAAAAAAATAAACTTCAGGGCCTCATAAGTGAATTATAAAATCGGATCTACTACAACTACAGTTGAACATCGATTATCCGCCCACCTCTGGGCAGACAACTGTCAGGCGGTGTTCAGATAAGGCAAATGTTCCGGATAAGAAAAAACTGTCACTCACACACTTTCAGTGGTTATTACTAGCCGCACG